GAGAGAGACTGTGAATATTCCGATACACAAAAATACACAAAGAGAAGACACACAAACAGAATCAGGTGTCAAAAAAATTTTAAAACTTGTTGGTCAACCCATTTATTTAATTAAAAAATTTAATTATATCAAAAATATTAGTATTTAATTGGATAAATATCTTATAAATATCTCTAAACAATCACGCAGTAGAGAGAAAATCATAAATCTTTTCATACCTCTCTTTTCGATTTGCAAACACTCCTCCCTAAAGCTTTGATCTTTGAAGGCGTCTGTTTCCCGATCATCTCTCTCAGCCAGGAGAAAGTCCATGGCGTCTTGTGCGATCAGCAAAAGGAGGTCCCTTAGATTGTTGTCGAGGAAATTCCTCAAGCTTTTATCTTGCTATTTCACAGCATGCGATATAGGTGAATCTAGATCTGGATCTCACAATCTGATCACAAACAACCGAGTTGCCCTTCCCCGCAGAGCGATCACAGCGACGAAGCAAAGAGTCAGATTCTTTTACCTTGATCACATCTCACAATCAACCGAGTTGCCCTTCCCTGCAGATCGATCACAGCGCGGCAATCAAGTTGTTTCATTGTCTAATAACCCTCCGCCATCAATTTTCTTAACTTTCCCTCCAGGAAACTCGATCTGTGACCGTCAAGTCGATCTGTGACGGTCAAGTCGATCCATTAAGACGAAGAGTTCTCATCGGCATTCTAATCGATATGTCCCCTTCCCTCCCGGATGGAAGGAGTCTCCAATTGTAGAAACTTTCTTTGAGCTTGTTGTTTTGGCATTTTTTTTTTTTTACAAGACACCTAGTGGTTTGTAGGTGTCATGTTAGATTGTCGTGGTCTGGTCTGCAGGAACCTCTCCTGACAAGCCCTTTGACATGAGTCACATGTCTAAACTCTGTATAGTATGTGTTTGTTATATGATATACTAACAAACTCTTATTGTGTTTATTCGTTGAGATTCCTTGGATTGTAATTAGTATCACCATGGGTACCTACTTTTAACGTTTGTAAAAGACTCAATTGTGGGAAGTGAATGATTTGTGTTATAGACAGAGTCGTCTTGTTAATTGGTCGGAGAACCTCATACTGTGCAAGTTATATATAATTCATATTGTAGCAAACAAGGACATGTTAAATTTCATAGATTTCCAAATCAAAATGAACAAGTAATGAGTAGAGAGACGGATATGATTTTGAATCCTATGGGAGAGATGTATTGTCATAGCTTAGGATTAAACAAGTTTATGGGCGATGCGGTGTTATTGTCTGTTGTAATAATTTTGCAATGTAATTAATAATGTTGTAACACCCCACCCGGCTTCTATGACCGGACAAGGTTTTTTTTTTTTGGTTATGGTGAGGATACTATCATGACCAAGTATACTTTATTGAACAAATCCTTTAACAAGACACAAGTAAACTGAGTATAAAGCATTGCTGTACTACTTAGGGAATAACAAGACTTAAACCAACTACAGGATCCAAATGAATAAAATCCCAATTCGCAAGCCGTCCTAAACGAGATGAGATCCATCGTCCCCAGTGTTCCTAAATGCAACAAGTTATTTTCTGATGTAGTTTCTTTATACGCTGCTATCAAATCCTTAATGGCCCCAAGTTTGTATATCATATATATCGAAGATTCTTTCATGTGATTTAAAGCAGCAATGTGGAATTGGCTAATTGAAATGAATGTTAAATTGTATTCAAACCATAGCATTTTCAGATAATGTTGTCTCCAAGGTTGATTAAACAATTGTAGTGGTCTAATTGGTTGAGGACTTATCCTGATGATCAGGGCTAAAGATCAAGTTACAGGTCCTATCCACTATGACTCCACTTTGGTAAAAGCCTTGGGACTAATCTAATTTCGTTTATAACAAAAAAGTGAATATAGAATTTCTGCCAACTTACTAGAATGTGCTAATCTCTGAAACAAGTTTAGTTGTTTTCTCTGAGCAACTACGGAAGGCTTACAAGCCATCAAGTGCAACGCTGTCTTCCCATTATCATTTCGAGAAATGGCTAGTTCTTTCTTCCTTTTCAACATTCTTAGAGCTACATCTACATTTACACTAGAATGAGACCATGGCAAAATTTTCAAAGAGAATAACAAAAAGCTAGATATTTACCATAGATATCAGCTGAAATGACGGCAAGAAAGAGATTTATAAACTCTATGACTTAGATTCCTAAAATCTGTTTTCCCGTAAAGGTATATATGACCATTTCTCCATGACCGAACATAGCAGCTACATGAATTGGATTCACTCCTCCACCACCACGAATCATTGGAATTTTAATCAACATTTCAGCAATCTCAACAACTTTTGTTGCAGCAGCAAAACATAAGGCTGTGTTGCCGTCCTTGTTTGCAGGTTCAAGTCTTGAGAGTTCATTTTTCCGAGTAGATTTCTCACAAACCCCTTGTGTTTTGCTGCAACAGCAATGTGAAGAGCAATCTCCAAATTACTGATAATTGTTGCGATGACAATATGTTCATGTTTATCGATTATAGTTTTGGCCACTTTCCAGTCTCCTTTCATAGTAGCTTGATACAATGGAACACCTATCATCAGATACTCGCTCTTTGTCTATCTGAAAAGCAACAGTAAAAATCAGAGACAACACGATAATAAACTAACAAACAAAAAAAGAGTAAAAGCTAGAATCAATCATGAGCGGTTGTATGAAGTGTTACATACCATCACATGTAATTTGATCTCGAGCATTACACAGTGGCCTAAGACTAGGATCTTGTGTAGTCAATAACGTACTTGACCCTGCAATATCAACTCTTGTATCTTCTTTTTAAAGCTGTTTCCTTTTGGTGCAGCTTCACAAGGAATAGTTCTCTCCAGATTGCTCATATTCCTTAGATTGATAAGGTGTGATATTAACAACGAGACATGTTGTTTTTTAGTTATCAGATGATTATGAAACAGGCTCTCTAACCGTACCTTCAATATGTTTTGTCGTTGGCAAGACAATGAACAATTACAAGAGAATGTCGTGGAAGCAGATCAATGGAGGTGCCATTGCCATTAATAATGCTTATAAGCAACTTGGTTAATAAAAATAATTGTTCGTGAATCAATTTCCAATTACAAATTGATATAAGAAAATATTAATGATGTTAAGACCAATGTAATTTTGTTATGCAGCGCATCACCTTCTGCTAGAGCCCTCTATTTTATCTACTAGCTTAGGCATCTAGCATAATGGCTAGATAAGATTAGTCAGCCTGGCGTTTGTGTCATCTCAACTTCAACTCCACCTCTCCGCACAAAATC